GGAGCCCAAGGGCAGACGCCGAAGGTAACGCGGTGCGTGCGTGCGGGGGGCGGAGATCAGCCCCTCCGGAGGCGCTAGGAGGCTCCGCACCCCCTGCCCCTCTCCCTCTCCCTCTCCCCATGCCGAGCGCTCCCAGCTCCTCCGCAGCACTTTCAGGGCAAGTGCGGGACTTGTCCCATAGGACATCCATCACACGTCCCACCTGCCTCCCGGGACTTTTCTTTCTGCGAAACTCTGTGGCGGCAGGGAGCAGGGCTAGGAGCAGTGGCCTCAAGCTGCTGCAGGGGAAAGGGAGTTGGGAGATGAGGCACTGTCTGAGCAGCAGTGTGGGCAAGCCCTGGGGCAGGCTGCCCAGAGAAGCTGTGGCATCTCCACCCTTGGAAGTTTTCCAGAGCAGGTGGGGCAGACACTGGTCTGGGATGGTTTAGGCGGGGATGATCCTGCCTTGAGCTGGAGGCAGGACTAGATGACCTTGTGAGGTCCCTTCCAGCCCTGCTTCCCTGCGATCTGTCCCTCAGCACAGGACTCTGGCAGGGAGCTGGAGATGATGGGGCTGCTCGTCCCCCTGGAAATCTATGGGCTTGGGGGTTGGGGAAGGACTTGGGAGAACGGGTTTGTCCTGGGCAGGAGGAGGTGGATTTAATAACAAGCCTTCAACGACCTGAAGGGGGGCTCAGAGGGGATGGAGCTGGACTGTTTTCAGTGGTGGTAGATGACAGGAGGAGGAGCAACAGGCTCAAGTTGCAGCAAGGGCAGATGAGGAAAGATGAGGAAAAACTTTCTCACTAGGAGGGTGGTGAAGCACTGGAACAGGTTACCTAGGGAGGTGGTGGACTCTCCATCCTAGGCGGGTGTCCTTGTGTGGGTTAGGCACAGAGGGAGCCATGTACCTTGCAAGGAAACATGGCCTACAATCCATCTTTCATCCTTGGATCACTAAGGTTTTTAAGACGCTGCTAGACAAAACCTTGACTGGGATGATTTAGTTGGGGCTGGTCCTGCTTTTAGCAGGGGGGTGGACTAGAGGACATCCTGAGGTCCTTTCCAACCCTCCTTTTCTATGATTCTATGTTTGCAAGCCAGACCGCTCGTGCCAGAGCTGGGAGGTACAGGCACTGTGCATAAAGTGCTCATAGCAACTTGCCTGGTGCCTTAAGATATGTGGGTTAAAGAGGCACCCCTTTGCTGTCTTGAATGAGTTGGGCAGTTCTCTCCTGGCCAGAGTCTGCTCTTGCTCGGCTCTGCTTT